GAGACACAGAAGCTACGAGACACAGAGAAGCTACAACGAGACACAGAGAAGCTACAAAGAGGCTCAAAACCACAGAGAGACGCAATGAAACTACAAAGAGACATAAAACGACTACAAAAATACACAAAACAATAAGAAAGAGAAAATTGAAATACCTTCTGAGCATCTCAAATGTTTTGGTCAACACTATCTGGTCACTACGTTCAGCGTGCAGAGGAATGGTCCAGTTATAGATCACCTGATCACACACAGCAGAAGATCAATGAGCTGGTTGATGATGACGATGATGATGATGATGACGACGACGATGCTCACCTGCTGAGACCTCCTCCTCCGCTGTCCCGACGGCTCGATCTGCTCCACCTGGACCAGGATGTAGTCCTGGTTGTCGAGGTCCACCTTCCCTTTGGTGAAGGGCCCCCCCACCTGCAGCTTCAGCAGAGCGTTGTCTCTGAAGTCCGTCAGGTTCATGGCTGAGGGACGAAGACGGTCAAGAGAAAGATCTGCAGCAGCTGAGTGTGTGTTTGTGTTCCTGAGAGTTCACCAAATATCTTATTCTTCTATGAGAAGTGAAGACGAGCACGAGAGACAGCAGGACCAGGTTCTGCTGTTCGGAGGGTTCCTCAGGACTTCAGCTGTCTCTGACCTCAGGGCTCATTCTGCTTCTATCTGCTGGAATGCGGATTCATTTCACATGTTTCACGTTTCTTTGTGGTCCTTTTGTATCGATTTTCAGTCATTTAGCGTCTCAGTTTTTGTGGTCGTTTTGTGTGACATGAAGTTGTTTTGTGTCTCTTTTGTGGATGTTTTACATATTTTAAGTCATTATACATCTTGTGTGGTTTTGTATTTATTTATTTTTGATACATTTTCAGATGTTTTACGTTTCTATGTGGTTGTCTTCAGTTTCTTTGAAGTCATTTTGGGTCATTTTTTTGTAGTTTTGTATCAATTTTAATTAATAGTGCGTCTCATAGTCGTTCACTCTTTTGTGATTTTGCATCTCTTTAGACGCTCTGTGCTTCTGCGTGGTTGTTTTGTGTCTCTTTATAACCATTGTGGGTCTTTTGTAGTCGTTTCACATCTATTGTAAGTCATTTTCGGTCTCCTTGTAGTCGTTTTGAGTCGTTTGAAGTTGTTTTGTGTCTCTTTTGTGGACGTTTTACATCAATTATTCGTCGTTTTCTATCTCCTTGTAGTCATTTTGGGTTGTTTGAAGTCGTTTATTGCATGTTTGTGGTCATTTCACGTCTCTTTGTGATCGTTTTGTGTCTTTTTTTTCGACAACATTTTGTTAGTCAGACGTCCTGACCTCCTGGGTCTGTACCCGTCTGGCCCCTTCCTTGTTGTTAAAGGCCTGCTGGGTCTCTTGCAGAGCTCTTTTCTTGATTCTAATTTCAGAACACATCATAAAATAAAAATGTGCACCGGCAACGATGGAAGCCGTCGGAAAAGATACAGAAAGTGTCTGTTGAGGAGACGGCCAACATCCTCCAGGGGTTGTCTCGGTCTGGATACATGCTGAAGAAGAGCTGAAAGCGCAACACAGTCATCAGTCAGCAGAGACGCTGAGGAGCAAGGAATCATGGGAAACATGCAGCCACACATTCATTTATTTGTTATTTTCTGCTTTTTTTCCATGTTGGAATAAAGGTTAAATATTTAACTGTGAAGTAGTAATGCGTGTTTGATACCTTCATGTTTTTGCATTAAATCATTCTGGGATGTTTGCTGACATTGATTGGATGTGGCTCAGCCCTACAGAGAACATGTTCTACAGAGAACATGTTCCACCAGCTCCACTGGTAGATTTATTTTATCATACGTTAATTATTCGGTTGTTTCTTTGTTTTATTGAACCAAAGGTTGTTTTAAAGGAACACTCACACTGCAGAGGACGACCAGAGTGAACATTGTGGCAATTTTGGAGACTCTGAAGCAGCATCTGAAACAACAGAAGAAGAAAAAGTCAGAATGAAATAAAACAGAGTTCACTTTAATAATAAAAATCATACCAGTGGTTTCCGACCTGACATGAAACTATCGTAAATATTACCAGTGTAGGAAATAATATAATATATAATAATGATATTTATTTTTGGGGGGTTTCTCAGATCTTTGTGTATTTTTTTCTTGTCAGATATTATATAGTTTTACCTCTTTAGATCTCTAGAAAATATTCAAATTAAATATCACTACAGGAAAAAACTTTCTTCTTCATGTTCTGGTCAATTTATAGATTTTGGTCTATTTTTCCTCCATAACTCGTCTTCTGTCAGACTAGAGGAAATAAAACATTTATTTTATACTTTGTCTGTTTACGCCTGTAGATTTCTACTAAATTCATCAAAAGTTACCATTACATAAAGCCTCATTTACATATTTAAACATCACATTTTATAAAACTTGTAATACAATAAATAATCCTCTTAATGTGAGTAATGAAGTGGTGAAGTTTCATGGTGATATCTATGAGTTAAGATGTAGTTTCTCCTCTTTAACTGCTCAGCTGAAAGGAAACCAAGGTTAGAAACGTCTGCATCATGTGAAACGTCTGCGTCGTGCGAGACGTCTGCGTCGTGCGAGACGTCTGC